TTGAAACCCCTTTTTTTAACTTTCTCAAACCACATTCATTTGAAACCCTTTTTTTTAACTAATGCAACTCAAAAGTTTTCTTAATTATGATTTAACACTCAAAAGTTTTATAAATTATATTATGTTTAATTAGCATTTAGTGAAAAGTTTACTATAAAAAAGGCCAATCTTTTGTGTCTTTTGTGTTATATAAAATCTTACATGTAAGAAGGATCTGAAGATATTGTTATTCAAAAGTTTTCATATAGTTGAAGCATTCACGATCCAAATATGATGATTTGAAAAAATGGGCTATGTCGCATCGATGGTAATTGTAATATGATTTTTTCTTTCAAGCAAAACAAATGAAGCTTTTTCTATTCTTTCTTTATATTCAGTTTCTCATTTAATCTTTATATGTGATTTGTGTGTATTATTCAATCTTGAATGTGACTCTCCAAACATCAATGTTTTGCCTGAAATATCTTTCTGATTCTTCTTTTTCAAGAAAAATATTTTGATTGCAGGTTAGTGAAAAATTGTCATCAAGTTTCTATGGTTGAATGGTGTTAAATGAAGAAAGAAGATTCATAAAATGGATATAGGTTTTTTTGTTTGAGCAAAGTTGACGAATGTTAGTTTTTTCTTTTGATTTAAATGTATGTTTATGTAACATCTTTATTTATATATTCAACCACCTAATGCTCTTATTTATTTGATTGTAGTTTTTCAATTTTGATTATGTTTATTTTCTATTATTTTTTTGTTGGGTTATCCTACACAACATATTTAAAAGACAATATTTAAAAGATAACATAATTTTGAACATTTGATATGTGATTATGATAGACTTATCATAATATGTTCTTCATATGAAAGTAATTTATCCATATTACTATGACAAAAATTACATATGACATTTACGAATATATATATATATATATATATATATATATATATATATATATATATATATATATATATATATATATATATATATTATGTGATTTGTTTAACATGTATATGCACATATGTATGTTATAAATTTTAATTAAATATCTTTATGTTTAATAATTGAAGGGATTAAAATGATGCATCAAAACCAATTATTTAGACGAATATAATAATAATAATAATAATAATAATAATAATAATAATAATAATAATAATAATAATAAATATACATTTCCAAGTACCGCATTCATTTGAAACTTACACTACAACTCAAGAGTTTTCTAATTTATGTATATTTATTAGTTACAACTCAAGAGTTTTTAACTTATGATTATTAATTAGTAATCACTAATAACTTTTTATTTCCTTTCTTTTATAAGGTTGTAAAGTTTTGCTCATTAAAAACATTAATGTATTTGAAGAGATTTGTGATTTAAATATGAAGAGTTAATATAAATGTTATAATAGATGTTTTAGTGTTTTTATGTTATTAAAAGTTATAGTGTTTATTTTTCATATTTTTTATTATTCGTTGTATATATATATCTTTTTTAATACAAATGTTATAATAGATGTTTTTCTATTTTTATGTTACTAAAAGTTGTAGTTCATCTTTTTGTTCATACGTTTTGTTACCCGTTATATTATCATTCATTTGATATATAATTTACACAATTTTAAACGGTTTATAAAATTATCAAATAATTGTATATATCACAATGACTTAAAAATTAAACTATAATGTTTAATAAAACTAATATGTTAACTATATGTTTGCTTTACTACTAACATTTTGTTTCAAAGTAGAAATATTAAATAATAATTTGGTAAAAGTTATTATTTTAACTATATAATTCTATTCTCGCGCAACGCGCGGGAATTCGCCTAGTATTATATGGAAGTATGAAGAGTTGGGAGTTTCAAATGAATGTGGTGAAAGAAAAAAATGATTCATTTATAATATAGTATGATAAAAGCTTCATAACATTAACATTATCTAATAAGTCAATATTATTATTTATATATTTTAAAATATCTATAAAAGGAATTAAGGTGAAAATGTTTTTCGGTCCGGTCCGGATTAAATCCCATATTTCGTGTAAGGTCTGGTCCAAACCCGAAACCCGAATAGTGATAAAAACAAAACCCGAAAACCTACCCATTAATATGAATATTTGGTCCGGTCCTGGTTTTTTTCCGTCCGGTCCGGTTCATCGAATCATATGCTCGTCCCTAGTATATTCATTCACTATTTTACTTTTAAATTTATATTTTTTATCCGCACCAACATTTAAATCCTCAACGATACATATTGACCATCTTTTCGTATAATCATACCAGAAACCCTTTGGCGTATAATTGTTATATAATGACTTTTGTATTTAGTATTTAGTATTGTTTTTTTAGGCAATACAAATTCATAATATATTTTTAATTCTTTTACAATTCATATAACAAAAAGAAACACCTTTAGATCTAAAGCAAAGTAATTTCCTCTAGTAGTTTAGACAACAAGAAACACCTTTATATCTAAAGCAAAATAATTTTTTTATAAAAAAAAAGTTAATAACTTAAAATGTAATATATTTTATTTTATGTTTAATCAACAATGTTTTTTTACATATATATATTTAACTGTTAAACTTGTTTCACTTGTTCAAAAAAAGATAATCATATTTTTAATATCAGATTAATCATTTTGTTTCGAGTAAATAAGTTAATATCATTTTTCTTGGTTTCAGTAAAAGAAATATGTCTTTTATAAAAAAATGTCTTTAATAGTACTTTTTATGAGTTAATGACTTAAAATGATCATGTATTTTGTTTCGTGTTTACATCTAACAAACAATGTTTTTATACGTATTTGACTACTGAATTTGTTTCACGTATTCAAATAAATATATATGTAAAAAAAACAAGTTTAACAGTACCAATATGTTTGAATATAACAACTTTTGTATTTTTTTTTTTAAAACGAGTTGTACATTCTAAGGATGAGCAATGGATCAGATCCAGACCGGACCGAAGACCGAAAACCCGAAGAACGAAAATCGTGAATTACCTTACTTGAAAACCGTACTGTTTTTGTGTGTATCAGGTTCGAGTTCGGTCCGGTCCAGTTCCGGGTACTAAACCGGGTTTCGGGTTTTAGACCGAAATACGGTTTCGGTCAGGTCCTATTTGGACTTACTTCAGTTTAATTGTCTTCCATGGAACCAATCCATTTTCATTCACCATTGTAGATGAGAGGAAAGTATGTTGTCTATTAGAGAGTAGAAGATTTGTAGGGTCCTTTTTTTTTTTTTTTGTAACAGTGGAATGCAATGGAGAGCTGGAGACTAGAGGCCGAACCCCAAGAAAAAAAAATTGTCACTGCCATGAACTTTGGAAGAGCCGCACAAGGTTTTTTTTTGGTAGTTGTCGCTCGTAAAGACGAGCCTCATAGTTCCTAAAAAAAAACTAATAGTAATTTAATCTTCATATTTTTTAGAAAAAAAAGTCTTATAAATAATATTACGATAGATACATTACGAATATTACTAGACATTCTTTATTATCTTATGGGAAATTGTCAGAAAAGTCCTAATATTTTCAAAAAAGTTTCACTTTAGTCTAAAAAAAAATTGAACATAAAAGTCCCGATTATTTTATTTTGGCTTAAATTAACAATTTTTTTTTTCTTTTAACATGAAATGACATATTGTCGTGTAAAATCAAATAATCATGACCTTTTTGTTCAAAACAAAAAAATTTGGGATTAAAGTAAAACCTTTTCGAAAATATTAAGATTTTTCTAAAAATTTCTATTATCTTATTATATCCAATTTGGTGAGACATGTGATACTCAATTTTAGTAAGCAATCACATTAGATACATTCTTTTTTGTAGCATTAATTTATAATTCAATAAAAGCTTCATAACATTAACATTATCTAATAAGTCAATAGCATTATTTATATATTTTAAAATATCTATAAAATGAATTAAGGTGAAAATGTTTTTCGGTCTGGTCCGGGTTAAATCCTGTATTTTATGTACGGTTCGCTCCAAACCCGAAACCCGAATAATGATAAAAACAAAACCCGAAAACCGACTCATTAATATGAATATCTGGTCCGATCCCGGTTTTTTTCGGTCCGGTCCGCTCCAACGGATCATATGCTCATCCCTGGTATATTCATTCACTATTTTACTTTTAAATTTATATTTTTTTATCCACACCAACATTTAAATCCTCAACATTTAGATAAAAACCCTTTGGTGTATAATTGTTATATAATGACTTTTGTATTTAGTATTTGGGGGAATTTCGTATATACCCTTACTAAACGAGAAAATATCATATTTGCCCGGTCTAACATCTAAATATCGTATTTACCCTTCTTAATCCTTTAAATATCATATTTACCCAAAATTGTTTTTTTTAATAGTTTTTAATATTTTACTATCCTTTTTTATATTTTAAAATTATTAAAATTGAAAAAAACACATAGTGGACCATATTGCCCTTAGCTTCCAAATTATGAGCTATCAACAAGATAATTGGATTTTAGTATATCCTCGACGTCTTCCTCACCTTCATTTGATTTTACCTCTGGTCGTCTTCCTTCTTTTTGCCCTCTAGCCATCTTTCTTCTTATAATCGAGTATAAGCAGGTAATTGTCTTTTCTTTTTGCCCTTTTCCCATCTGCGCTCATGATTTTGTTTAATTTTGTTTTTGAATGTGATGATATTTATGTATAATCAGGTATTCCCCCAAGAACTCAAAGTTCCAAATATTGAATCACTACAAATGAAGACTTTCTAAATCACGTTTTCTATAAATGCAAAATCATATTGCCTCAAGAAGGAGCAAAAACTGAATCATCACCATTATCTAAAGTCCTAATTTTTTAGTTTACCGATTACAACAAATGAAAACACCACTGCGGAGGAGCACATTCATCCATCTTGTCAAATCCCCAAAAACATCAGCTTTGATAGTTTAAAGTTTAAACTCAGTGGATTGGATTTAGGGGCTCAATTTAAGCCTATTTTTCAGAATTTAGTGAATTAAATTTTGGGAATGCTTATGGTATGCGCTTTTGATCTTTTTTCTGAATTTCTGGCGAATTAGACTTGATGCTAAATGTTCTCTCTTTTGAAAATTGAGTATTCTTCAGCACATTGTTGCTACTAGTTTTTTCTTCATTTTTTGTAATCGTTGAAACCAACAGAGAGAATAATGTTAACATGTTAGTGTGAATTTAAGTCAATTACTAACATTATAATCATGGAACGTACATGTTGTTGGACCTAAAAGTCAAACAATTCTCACTCTTATCTAATCGAGCTTTCTTTCTATATCTTTTGACTAATTATTTTGCCAAAAACGAAGGGCATATATGGAAGAGAGTCGTGAAAAATCATATTAAAACAGGAAGACAGCGAGAGCCGAGAGGTCCGATGATTGTGAAGAAGATGTTGAAAGGTAAAATCTCATTATTCTGTTAACAGCTCCTCTGATTTAAAAGACAAGGGCAATGTGGTCCATTTTGTTTTTTGTTTTTTTTTTCAATTTTAATGATTTTTAAATATAAAAAAGGATTATATAATATTAAAAACTATTATAAAAACATATTTGGGTAAATATGATATTTTAAAAAGTTAAGAAGGACAAATATGATATTTAGATTTTAGACCGGGCAAATACGATATTTTAATGTTTAATAAGGGTATATACGAAATTCTCCCGTAGTATTTAGTATTGTTTTTTTTTTATTTGAGGCAATACAAATTCATAATATACTTTTAATTCTTTTACTATTCATATAACAATTTATTGTATCAAATGAATTATAAAAAATAAAAACATAATATCACAAATATGCATTTAATCTTATAAAAATCAATAATATCTGTCTTTATTATTTGATAGAGACATATCGTTGTCATCTATTTCACCATTGCAACACTAATTTCATTTTCATTTTTCACCCATGAAAAAGTCACTGTTTCGATCGAATTCAACACCGCCTTCTGCTGTTGTTAATTTAAACCCCCATTATTTCTCTCTCTAACGGCCCGTTTCTTTCTCTCTCCTCCTCCTCTTTGTAATCGCTTCTTGCTTATCTGTCTTTCCACAACCTCTCGATCCTCTGAAATACAATAAAACAAAGCCCTAAATCAAGAACTACAAAGTGACAACACAAAAGGCATTCGAAAGACAGGTAAGCCTTTCAATTGCGTGCTGTTTAATTTATTATTTTCGGCGATGGTTGCTTTTTGAGTTTTTGAAGAAGGGTTTGCTGTGATTCCTGTTGTCCTGTTCAATTAGATTCGAAAGGAACCCTTCAACCGCTTCCTTATAGTCTTTGATTACCGGATCGTCTTTGGTTTGTTAGGCGTTACGCTTCAGATTGAATCTTTCTAATTGATCTTCAATTGGGTTTCATTGTTGAATCTTTGTGCGATTTCCCCCATTTGGGTTTCATTTTCCCCTAATTTTTAATTTTATTGTCGGTGGCAACATCACAATCTTGTAGAAAACTAGTACTCAATTTCTTCTTTTTTGTTGGATTTGTTTGTTTTCTGGTTATAATTTTAACACGGCGATGGATCCTCGTCGTCCTCTCTGTGGTTTAGTGGTAAGAGTTCATACGATTGTTAAAATTTGAAGCATGTGGTTGAGATCTTTGATATGAAACTCATCTATAGATAAATATACATAGTCACACCTTATGATCTTCGCTATTAAGCACATATCGCTGATAAATAAGATTGATTTCCATGAAATTCTTATGCAGGCAGACGCCCCACCTCCTGGACACTTTTTACGTTTGGGAAAAGCAAGGGCTCAAGACGATCTAATTTTGAGGAAGAGAGATAGGATGCGGAGGTGGCTGTGTTGTACTTGTCAAGTTGAAGAATCTTATCCTTCAAATGAAAATGGATTGATAAAAAATCACAATGATCACAATGATGGTATGTTTTTTATGACTTAAATCTCTTAATAAGTTCTGTAATGGCAACTAGATGATAGTTTTTTTAATGTAGGGCAACATAAGGACTCAAAACTACCGCCTCCTGTCAAACATGATGCTCAGAAAGCAGTGCCAACAATTGAAGTGCCTTCACTTTCACTCGATGAATTGAAAGAAAAAACTGAGAATTTTGGATCAAAGGCATTGATTGGTGAAGGTTCATATGGAAGGGTTTATTTTGCAAACTTAAATAATGGAAAAAGTGTTGCTGTGAAAAAACTTGATGTTTCTCCAGAGGCTGAATCAAATTCAGAGTTTTTGACTCAGGTAAAGTCAACTATCCTTTCCTTTTTCAATTTCTTACTATAACAACATTGTACTTTAAAAAATCTACATGAAAGTACATTGCTATTTCTTGCATTTCTCTTTATGAATAATGTTTTTCTTTCTATTCAAGGTTTCAATGGTGTCAACACTGAAGCATGACAACTTTGTTGAGTTGTGTGGTTACTGTGTTGAGGGAAATACACGTGTCTTGGCTTATGAATTTGCAACCATGGGATCTCTACATGACATATTGCATGGTATGTGAACTTTTCATTTTTCATATTTTAATTAATAGTTTATATGTTTTTAAATGTATGTATATGTATATGTATATGTATATGTATACATACAGGTAGGAAGGGGGTGCAAGGAGCACAACCAGGTCCTGTTCTTGATTGGATGCAAAGAGTAAGGATTGCTGTTGATGCAGCAAAAGGACTGGAGTATTTGCATGAAAAGATTCAACCTTCAATAATTCACAGAGATATTAGGTCAAGCAATGTGCTACTTTTTGAAGACTTGAGAGCCAAAATTGCAGACTTTAACCTTTCAAATCAAGCACCAGATATGGCTGCTAGATTGCATTCAACTCGTGTGTTGGGAACTTTTGGCTATCATGCACCAGAGTAATAATAATAATAATAATAATAATAATAATGTTTCTAAAAACCCTTTTTCATGTTTGATCATAAAAGAAAAAAGAAAATCTTTAACTAATAAAAATGTTTTGTGTAGATATGCAATGACTGGACAATTGACACAAAAAAGTGATGTGTATAGCTTTGGGGTTGTGTTGCTTGAGCTTCTAACTGGTAGGAAACCTGTTGATCACACAATGCCACGTGGACAACAGAGTCTTGTCACTTGGGTCAGTTTTATTTTGGAATTTAAACTAACTTTGTTTTGTGACATAAATATATAATTAATAATATAATAATAATATATATAGGCTACACCAAGGTTAAGTGAAGATAAGGTGAAGCAATGTGTGGATCCAAGGCTCAAGGGAGAGTACCCTCCAAAAGCAGTTGCAAAGGTAGGTGTAGTTCTGACTCGGTCAAACTTTGACTCAATCAGACATTGACTTAACTAAAAGAAGATGTGTTTTGTTTTGTTTTGTATGATGTTGCAGTTGGCAGCTGTAGCTGCATTGTGTGTGCAGTATGAGAGTGAGTTTAGGCCAAATATGAGCATTGTTGTGAAGGCTCTTCAACCACTGTTGAGGGCTCCTGCACCTGTTGCTGCTGCTGCTGAAGTCTAATAATAATAATGTCTCAAATCACATAAATGGATTATTATGTTTTGGTTGATCATGATCATGGTTGATGGTGGGAGCTATACGCGCATATATAATAGTGTTTTCTTTGGATTTATATTTCTTTTTTTGGTTTGAGGATGGAAGGGTGTGGACATGTTTTGCGTAGTTTTGGTTTGTCAAGATTTGTTTAATAATGGAAACATGGTTTGAGGGTGATTCAAGTAATTTACTGTTTTTTTTGTTTTTTGGTGTTACACATTTGGTGGTGTTCTATGTTTTTCCATCTCTCTACTTATGTTTCCAGCTTTTAATGAAAACTTTTTGAAAGTCCAAAAAGATGTGAAAATTTCGAAGAGGACAAAAAGATCCTGAGTTAAACCGATATTAAAGTATCTTCAATGGTTAACCTATGTTACAACTTAAAGTTATTGTCATCTTATTATCTATTAATTTTGAATTCTAAATAAATGACTTATCCAATAGTTAAACTTATTTTAATAATTTTTAAACTTATTTTAATAATTTTTTCTATAAAGTTAACTAATTTACCCTCATCTACCTAAAATGTTTTATAGAACATCTAATTTAATTAAGCCTTTTTAAACACAAATCATATCTTAACATGAAAATATAAAATACAACTACATCAAGTCTTTATTTATATACCTACTTGTAGAACAAAAATTATAGTTGGTAATTATTTGGTGGATTTAAATGTAAATCTAAATTGTCAATTCGTAAATCACTTTCCAGCATTAGAAATACTAGATTTAAATTAGTTAACGGATATAAGATTAATATCATTCTTTAATTTAAATAATAAAAGTTTTTTAATTTGTTTTGATGTATTCAAGAGAAAAGTATTTTTTAACAAGTTTCCTTATAATCACCAAGAGCTAAATAATAGAACAATAATATTTTCACATTATAAAAAGAAAAGGGTCCCACATGCTTCCGTACCTTTTTTCCATTTTGACCGGAATATTGTTGGGTTATACTACCATTTTGACCGGAATATTGTTGGGTTATACTACGAGACTTTTACCGAGCATTCCACCTCCAACCTATTTTGGATAGGTAACTTCCTTTAGCTCTTTCAACAATACTCAACACAACCTAATTTCATTTCCTACGTTAGGTGTATGGATAATAAGTATGGATTTTTGTGGGGTTTTTCTTCTATAGTGGAAAATACATATAGTATTATATGACTCCAGGAAAATATAAGGAAAAGAAGAATTTATTCAAACATTATTTTTGTTACAAAGGTGGGTTTACAAGATAACATGATAGAAAAACAATGATTACAAAAGATGCCCTTTTCTATAATACTGGGCTTTTATTTATAGCACTAGGTACATACATCAAAGACTCATCCCTTTCTTCAGTTCTTTCAACACCTATCATCTTCATGTCAGAGGTTTTTCATGCATGCATGACACACACATGCAAGATGCATCCATTTCTTTTCCCAGGTGTAAGTTTTATCCTTATAGCTTGTGTATAATATTTGTCTCCTTAAGTCAACATGACTTATCCATTAGTATCTACATATTTGTCACTACATGGTACCCACAATCAATCTATGTCATCGAAATTTGTTGAAGAGTTTGATGACGAGGCTTTATCTTGATCTTTTGATGAAGTACATGCTGGACAAATATCTTTAGTATGTTGTCTGTATTAACAGATTCTGCTTTGTGCTTGTGGGCTTGATTTTATCTTACATCTATCAAGTAAATTTATTTTTGCTTGTAAGTATTGAATTGCTGATCTAGGGGATTCCCTAGCAAATGATATCATGACTGGCGAATATATATTTCCACCATACGTACGAAATCCTTTTTTAAAACTGGCTTGCATGGCTTGGAGAATAACTCTGATGCCTATAGCTCTTCGATAACGAATATATTTTTCATCAAATTTTATAAATTCTTTTTTCTGCCTTACTGCAATAATTGAAAATGATTATGCTTTTCTTATCTGCATGAAATCATATGAAGGATATATGTCTTCTTCATAAAAATCTGGTCCCGTTGACACGAATTTAAGGACCATAATATCTTTTGGGGATATAGTAGGGTTATTCATATAACAGTTTTTTTACACTCTCTATTATCCATTGTGGTAACATTTTTATCTCACGAAATCTGGAGATATGAGATATATCGAGTTTATGGCACTAAAATCGTACCAATATCTGATTTCTTCGGGTGGAGAATCCTGTAAATAATTAATTCTAGGATAAATCCCAAAAAAATCAACATATCTAAAACCTTTATCACATAGGTTAAATAATTCTCTCATTTTTTAGCTTTGTATTTCAACAAATGAATGTTGACTTGTAAAATTAAACCGATTTTTTTTTTCATCGGGAATCTTTTTCGCAGTCTGAGGTCTCAAAAAAATATGATCTTCAGTAATTTTTGAATCTGCTGGTATATGTTTGTCTTCAGAAATTGATTTCCCTGTAGAAGAAGGAGGTGTATTATCTTTTTGGAATTTTAAATTTTCGATTATACCCATAATAGTTTTATTATATGTATCATAATTGTTTGTTCTCTTTTCCATCAGTTCAGTAACTGAGAGTAGTAAAGTAGTAACTTATTTTGCATTGCTAGGCAGATTAGCAATATAAATAATGTCTGATGCATATTCTTTGATTGCGCTTATCTGTGCATCCATGGCAATGAGGAGATTCAAGATTTTCTCAATCTGTTCTTCCATCTCTGGTTAAGAAATCTGCTAAAACATTTTTATTAGATCTGCCAATTTCAATATCAATAATATATTCAGATAAAAGTGTTTGCCATCTTATGAGTCTCTTATATTCAGGTTTAGAAGGCAAATTATTTTTTATATATGCTTTTACCTGGGTGTTATCAGTTCTTAATAAAAAGTTTTTTGGTAATAAAAAGTAATAAATTTTTTTTGACAACTTTTAACTACGGCTAATAACTCTTTTTCATTAATATGATATCTAGTTTGTATATCAGAAAACGTTCCCGAACAATATCGACATATACTTTCACCAACCTTTTCATGTTTAGGGTTATAATCTATTCTCTTAAGAACTCCATTCCAATAATTTTCAGAAGCATCTGTTTCTAAGATTAAGTCATCATCTTCTTTTGGGTAATTGGAGTTTTGGTAAATTTTTGCAACTTACTTTTATATTTTTTACTTGCTTTTCTAAACCCTTGTCAAAGCTAAAAACTCTATCCTTTTTTAATAACTCTTGAAAGGGTTTCCTTTAATGCTGCTATATTATTAATAAAATCAGAAGCATAATTAAGTATTCCAAGAAAACTTTGTACTTGTTTTTTATCTATCAATTTATTGGGGAAAACAATTATTTTTTCAAGTGTATGACTATGAAGTTCTATCCCACTACCATCAATTTTCATTCCTAAAAATTCTATTTTGTCTTGTAATAATTTATTTTTCTTTTCGGATAAAGCTAATCCCTTCTTAATGCATATATCTGCAAAAGTATTTAAATGTCGTAAATGTGATTGTATATCATTTGATAATACTAGAATATCATCAACATAAACAAAAATAAAATCATGATTTTTAAATATATCATCCATTTTTCTTTGAAATATTTGTGGAGCATTTTTTAATCCAAAAGGCATAACAAACCATTCGTATTGTCCTTGAAGGGTTGAAAATGAAGTATACGAAATACTATATGGATGCATTTTTATTTGCCAAAATCCACTTTTACAATCAAAATTTAAAAATATATTTTTATTTCTAGTCCAATTGATTAGACTTTTTTTATGTGGTAAAAAAATATCCATCAAATACAGTATTATCATTTAATTTTTTATAATTTATCACCATTTGAGCTTTTCCTCTGGCTATTTCTGCATGCTTTTTAACCATAAAGGCAGGAGAACTATGTGGACTATGACTTTGTTTGATTAATTTAAGATCTAACAATTATTTTGTTTGTATTTTAAATTCATTTTGATCATCAGGATTATATCTCATTGGTTTGATTCTTATCTCTTTATCTTTATCTTTCATTTCTAATTTAACTGTTATTTTGTTTTTCTCCCGAAATTGTAATGGATTTTCAGAATAACATTGCTTTATTTTATTTTTAATATGTTCTATGTCTACATCTAGTTTTAATTGTAATTGATATTTTAATAATGGAGTTCGTTTTGGGATTATCACTTTTTGTTTGTAGCCTATATCACCACGTTGGGTTGTGCGGGGTTTAAAGTCAATTGGATATCTTTTTGCATAAGCTTGTGTTAAGCATTTTACAACTATTAGATGATGGCATGACATTTTGAATATTATTTGTCTAAGTATGTTTTCATATGTAATTTTATGGAATAATTGTAAAAAATTATTGGCTAATAAGATATCAGTACCATTGTTATGGAAATAAAATGGTGGACATTTTATCACGTAGGATCCTAATAGAATTATTGGTTGTTCAATACCTTTGGTGAGTGTTAAATTGTTATTTGATATATCCTTTCCTTTTGTAGGTTTTAACTGTTGATATTCTTTTGGAAAGCATTCTGGTTTGCACATATATGTGCCAACACCATTATCTATATATGCTGCAAAGTATTCAGCCTTGTAGTTTTTATAAGTTAATCCTATGGGAATATAAATACTTAATGGACTTGTCATTTAGGTATATATATTATTTTTTTCATTATATGTTATTTTTAGCCCATAAGGTGTTATATTATATGGTTTTACTTTTTCTAAAAAAGTGAATCCTAACATTATTTCTGATGTATCATTAGCATCTGCATTTAGTAATCTTATTGGGATAATTTCTTGTCCAAATTTAAGTAATGTTTCAATTGCTTCGTCTATAATATGCAATTGACCATTAAAATTAGTATATTGGTATAACTCATCAATTTATACTTTTGTATTTGGGTACATAGTTTATTATTAATATAATTTTCTTTTACACCAATATCTATTAGTATATTAATAGGAACAAACTTTATTCCATTAAAATATTCTCCTTCTACTTTATAAGTTAAATTATTATCTTTGGTTAATATTTCGTTATTGTATTTATCTGAATATATTCATTCTTTTAAAGGCTTACTATTTACTTTGGTGTTTGTAAAGGATAAAGTTGGATATGTAGAATTAGATATTAGTAATGGTTTATTTTGTAAGTCAATATCTAAGGGTCTTGATTCAATTTCTTCTAGTTTAGCAATACTTGATACTTGTACTTGACATACATCATT